AAGGTCCAGGGTGGAAGAAAGAACTCTTGTCTGTTGGAGGCAAGTGTGAACATTGCAGTTGGCCAGCTTGGTTAGCATTGAATGGCCTTGCAGCTTCAATGCCTGGCTGTAAAAGGTGGAGGCAAGTGTGAATGTTGCAACTGGCCACCTTAATTAGCGTTGAATGGCCTTGTAGCTTCAAAGCCTGGCTGTAAAAGTTTGAGGGTGGGAGAAAGAATGCTTGTCTGTTGGAAGCAAGTGTGAATGTTCCAATTGGCCACCTTGGTTAGCATTGAAATAGCCTTGCAGCTTCAAAGCCTGGCTGTAGAAGGTCCAGGGTGGGAGAAAGAACTCTTGTCTGTTGGAGGCAAGTGTGAATGTTGCAATTGGCCACCTTGATAAGCACTGAATAGCCTTGCAGCTTCAAAACCTGCATGAGGAACTCCTTTGTTGGGAGGTGTTAGCTGGCCCTGATAGTTTCCTGCCTGGAACACTCAGAAAACAATGGAATTCCAGACTGGAAACGATCAGGGCCAGCTAACACTTCCCAGCGAAGGATCCCCCCAGGCAGGAAGCAGCCAGGCTTTAGAACTGTAAGGCTACTCAATGCTAATCAAGGTGGGCAATTGCAACATTCACACTTGCCTCCAACAGACAAGAGTTCTTTCTCCCACTTCGGATATATAAACCCCATTTGCCTCGTTTCCAACAGACCTCACAACCTCTGAGGATGCCTGCCATAGATCTGGGGAAAACATCAGGAGAGAATGCTTCTGGAACATGGCCAGACAGGAACCCAGTGACTCTGGCCATGAAAGCCTTTGACAACAAGTTTCTTTTTGCTTAGCAATGTGTTCATAATTAGCTGTGATGCATTCCAAACGATTTCTTCGGAATGTCTACTCCTTCCTTGTTGGTTTGACGCATGTCTCCCTTGTGTCCTTCTTTTCTTTATGACATTGGATTGATGCTCTGGCTTTTCCTGTATTTCAGGGTCGTTTGCCGGTCAAATGGATGGCCCCTGAGGCTTTGTTTGACAGGATATATACTCATCAGAGTGATGTGTAAGTACTCCATGTTCACTTATAATAAGATTGTGTTGTCGAAGGTTTTCATGGCCAGAATCAATGTGTTGCTGTGAGTTTTTCCAGGCTGTTTGCTTCCTTCCTGGGGGAATCCTTTGTTGGGACTGCACCGGGATTGTGGCGCAGCTGGCTGGGAATCAGCTGCATTAAGATCCCAACTGACCGAAAGGTCATGAGTTGGAAGACAACCTGGGTCGGAGTGAGCTCCCGACCAAAATTGTGTAGCTTGTTGTCGACCTTTATTTATTTATTTATTTAAAAGTTTTGTCTACCGGCCTTCTCACCTCTCTTGAGGGACTCAGACCGGTTTCCAACCATAAGATCACATACAATCAATAAAACATCATACTTCATATTACAATAAAACATTAAAACATTAAAACAGCAATTACATTCAATAAATACAATGGTCAGTCGTCCCACTAAAATCGATGTTCATCATCCTCCATCCATATCTCAGGGTATTGGCTCACTCGTCGAATGCCTGTCTCCATAACCACGTCTTCACCTGTTTCCTAAATGTCAGGATAGAAGGGTTCTGATCTCCAGTGGGAGAGAGTTCCAGAGTCGAGGGGCCACCACCGAGAAGGCCCTGTCCCTCGTCCCCACCAGACGCGCTTGCGAGGCCGGTGGGACCGAGAGCAGGGCCTCTCCAGACAGTCTTAATAATCTTGATGGTTCATAGTGGAGAATACGTTCGGAGAGGTAAACAGGGACGGAATCGTTTAGGGCTTTATAGGTTAACACCGGCACTTTGAATTGTGCTCGGAAGCTAATTGGCAGCCAGTGGAGCTTTGCAGCCCAAAAGGCAGTTGCATCTGTCAGGAAGGAAAATTAGGTTCCTAAAGGAAGCTAAAGGAAGCTAAATTAGCTGATTTACAAGGTCATAAAAATCTCCAGGAAGTATGCAAGTATGCAAAGAATGAGGAAGTGACAGCTCCCCTGGTGGCTAGAAGCTGGAATGTTAAATAGCCTCTGAGTGTCTGTCTATATATGTTGTGTGTCTATGGCATTGAATGTTTGCCATGTATATGTACATTGTAATCTGTCCTGAGTCCCCTGCAGGGTGAGAAGGGCGGAATATAAATACTGTAAATAAATAAATAAATAAATAAATTGGGAGGTGTTAGCTGGCCCTGATTGTTTCCAGCCTGGAACACTCAGAAAACAGTGGAATTCCAGACAGGAAACAATCAGGGCTAACTAACACCTCCCAACAAAGGATTCCCCCAGGGAGGAAGCAGCCAGGCTTTGAAGCTGCAAGGCCATTTGATGCTACTCAAGGTGGCCAATTGCAATAAATAAATTGGGAGGTGTTAGCTGGCCCTGATTGTTTCCAGCCTGGAATGCTCAGAAAACAGGGGAATTCCAGACAGGAAACAATCAGGACCAGCTAACACCTCCTGACAAAGGATTCCCCCAGGGAGGAAGCAGCCAGGCTTTGAAGCTGCAAGGCCATTCGATGCTACTCAAGGTGGCCAATTGCAATAAATAAATTGGGTGGTGTTAGCTGGCCCTCATTGTTTCCAGCCTGGAACACTCAGAAAACAAGGGAATTCCAGACAGGAAACAATCAGGGCTAGCTAACACCTCCCGACAAAGGATTTCTCCAGGCAGGAAGCAGCCAGGCTTTGAAGCTGCAATGCCATTCGATGCTACTCAAGGTGGCCAATTGCAATAAATAAATTGGGAGGTGTTAGCTGGCCCTGATTGTTTCCAGCCTGGAACACTCAGAAAACAGTGGAATTCCAGACAGGAAACAATCAGGGCCACCTAACATCTCCCAACAAAGGATTCCCCCAGGGAGGAAGCAGCCAGGCTTTGAAGCTGCAAGGCCATTCGATGCTACTCAAGGTGGCCAATTGCAATAAATAAATTGGGAGGTGTTAGCTGGCCCTGATTGTTTCCAGCCTGGAATGCTCAGAAAACAGGGGAATTCCAGACAGGAAACAATCAGGACTAGCTAACACCTCCTGACAAAGGATTCCCCCAGGGAGGAAGCAGCCAGGCTTTGAAGCTGCAAGGCCATTCGATGCCACTCAAGGTGGCCAATTGCAATAAATAAATTGGGAGGTGTTAGCTGGCCCTGATTGTTTCCAGCCTGGAACACTCAGAAAACAAGGGAATTCCAGACAGGAAACAATCAGGGCTAGCTAACACCTCCCGACAAAGGATTTCTCCAGGCAGGAAGCAGCCAGGCTTTGAAGCTGCAATGCCATTCGATGCTACTCAAGGTGGCCAATTGCAATAAATAAATTGGGAGGTGTTAGCTGGCCCTGATTGTTTCCAGCCTGGAACACTCAGAAAACAAGGGAATTCCAGACAGGAAACAATCAGGGCTAGCTAACACCTCCCAACAAAGAATTCCCCCAGACAGGAATCAGCCAGGCTTTGAAGCTGCAAGGCCATTCAGTGCTAATCAAGCTGGCCAATTGCAACATTCACATTTGATTCATACAGACAAGGGTTCTTTCTCCTACCCTAGACGTTATTCCACAGATATATAAATTACATATATAAATGTAATAATAGCAACACCAATAAAGAGAGTGATATAATAAAAATAAATAGAGCAAAATAATCAATGTAAGAATAATAAATACAGAAAAATAATCAATGTAATAATAACAATACATAAATAAATGGAATAAAAACAATAATAGCGGTCGCAGTTGGCGCACGAGTCTCAGTTGTACAAAAGCCCTCCTGGCCACCACCAACGCTTGAGCTTCAAGCGTAAGCGATGAATCCAGGAGGACACCCAAACTGTGGGTATTTGGGGGGGGGGGCTGATTTGGGGGTCGGATAAAGGGTCCTGCCTTGGTTTCATCTTCCTAGCATCCTTTTCTCAAAGTGCCTTGCTGGGATTTTGCTGCAGTTAAGCTGCAAAATGTTAAATCTTCCCGTGGACTCCTCTGCTTCCGGCTCCTGCCTGGAGTCTTCCTCCGTTTATGGGCCTCCTTATCTGATTGGAGTCCTCGTGGACAACAAGTTCAACATGAGCCAACAATGTGATGTGGCGGCAAAAAAAGCCAATGGGATTTTGGCCTGCATCAATAGGAGCATAGTGTCTAGATCTAAGGAAGTAATGCTACCCCTCTATTTCGCTTTGGTTAGACCACACCTGGAATATTGTGTCCAATTCTGGGCACCACAATTCAAGAGAGATATTGACAAGCTGGAATGTGTCCAGAGGAGGGCGACTAAAATGATGAAGGGTCTGGAGAACAAGCCCTATGAGGAGCGGCTTAAGGAGCTGGGCATGTTTAGCCTGAAGAAGAGAAGGCTGAGAGGAGATATGATAGCCATGTATAAATATGTGAGAGGAAGCCATAGGGAGGAGGAGGGAGCAAGCTTGTTTTCTGCTTCCTTGGAGACTAGGATGGAACAATGGCTTCAAACTACAAGAGAGGAGATTCCATCTGAACATGAGGAAGAACTTCCTGACTGTGAGAGCCGTTCAGCAGTGGAACTCTCTGCCCCGGAGTATGGTGGAGGCTCCTTCTTTGGAAGCTTTTAAACAGAGGCTGGATGGCCATCTGTCAGGGGTGATTTGAATGCAATATTCCTGCTTCTTGGCAGAATGGGGTTGGACTGGATGGCCCACCAGGTCGCTTCCAACTCGAGGATTCTATGTGAGAGCCGTTCAGCAGTGGAACTCTCTGCCCTCGGAGTGTGGTGGAGGCTCCTTCTTTGGAAGCTTTTAAACAGAGGCAGGATGGCCATCTGTCAGGGGTGCTTTGAATGTAATTTTCCTGCTTCTTGGCAGAATGGGGTTGGACTGGATGGCCCATGAGGTCTCTTCCAACTCTAGGATTCTATGATTTCAATGATTTTCCATGGCGTCCTTTGTTTCTCCTCCACTTCCCAGGTAGCCGCCCCCTTTTGCCCCCTGGCATCTCCAATTAAGCTTTGCAGGCCGGGTATTATTCCCACTGGTGAAATAGACCATATGCGATCCATCTTAGCGTAATGAAATGCTAATTACCTGAAGCAGGAACCATATTTCAAGCCCAGCGTTCAGCTCGCTGGCAAGCACCGCTTCCACGCCGCTCCGGGCTCCGACTTTATTGCCCGTCCAATTTTCTCTTTTGTGAGTTATGAGTTCTGGGTTGGAAGCGTCTTTTCCCGTCTTCTGCTATAAAAACCTTTAAAGAGGGATTATTATAAAACAGAAAATGGAGCAAAGGAGCTTTTCTGCACCTATAGGTGCGAAGGAAGATCGATACTTTTGAGCTGTGGTGTTGGAGGAAAGTTCTGAGAGTGCCTTGGACTGCGAGAAGATCCAACCAGTCCATCCTCCAGGAAATAAAGCCCGACTGCTCACTGGAGGGAAGGATACTAGAGACAAAGTTGAAGTACTTTGGCCACATCATGAGGAGACAGGAAAGCCTGGAGAAGACAATTATGCTGGGGAAAGTGGAAGGCAAAAGGAAGAGGGGCCGACCAAGGGCAAGATGGATGGATGGCATCCTTGAAGTGACTGGACTGACCTTGGAGGAGCTGGGGGTGGTGACGGCCAACAGGGAGCTCTGGCGTGGGCTGGTCCATGAGGTCACGAAGAGTCGGAGACGACTGAACGAATGAACAACAACAAATGTGCAGGACATAGTCAGCAAGGTGCAGTGGTTTGAGCATTGGAATCCTGAGAGTTGTAGTTTGTCAGAGAAGGCAGAGAGAGTGTGACCTTGTTGGTTCTCACATCTGGAATATTGTGTCCAATTCTGGGCACCACAATTCAAGAGAGATATTGACAAGTTGGAATGTGTCCAGAGGAGGGCGACTAAAATGATCAAGGGTCTGGAGAACAAGCCCTATGAGGAGCGGCTTAAGGAGCTGGGCATGTTTAGCCTGAAGAAGAGAAGGATGGGAGGAAATATGATAGCCATGTATAAATATGTGAGAGGAAGTCACAGGGAGAAGGGAGCAACCTTGTTTTCTGCTTCCCTGGAGACTAGGACGCAATGGAACAATGGCTTCAAACTACAAGAGAGGAGATTCCATCTGAACATGAGGAAGAATTCCTGACTGTGAGAGCCGTTCAGCAGTGGAACTCTCTGCCCCGGAGTGTGGTGGAGGCTCCTTCTTTGGAAGCTTTTAAACAGAGGCTGGATGGCCATCTGTCAGGGTGATTTGAATGCAATATTCCTGCTTCTTGGCAGAAGGGGGTTGGACTGGATGGCCCATGAGGTCTCTTCCAACTCTTTGATTCTATGATTCTATGATTCTGGACATCTCAGCGGCTTTCGATACCATCGATCATGGTATCCTTCTGGGACGACTCTCTGGGATGGGCCTTGGGGGCACGGTTTTGTCGTGGCTCCGGTCCTTCCTGGAGGGTCGATCCCAGATGGTGAAGCTGGGAGACGCCTGCTCGGACCCCTGGCCTTTGACCTGTGGGGTCCCGCAAGGCTCCATTCTGTCTCCCATGCTTTTAACATCTACATGAAACCGCTGGGAGAGGTCATCCGGAGTTTTGGAGTTGGGTGCCATCTCTACGCAGATGACACACAACTCTACTACTCTTTCCACCCAATTCCAAGGAGGCCTCTCGGGTGCTGGACAAGTGCCTGGCCGCTGTGTCTATCTGGATGAGGAGGAACAAGCTGAAGATCAATCCTGACAAGACAGAGGTCCTCCTGGTCGATCGCAAACCTGATCGGGGTATAGGGTGGCAACCTGTGTTGGACGGGGTTACACTCCCCCTGAAGCCACAGGTCCGCAGTTTAGGAGTCCTCTTGGATTCATCGCTTACGCTTGAGGCTCAGGCGTCAGCGGTGTCCAGGAGGGCTTTTGCACAATTGAGACTCGTGCACCAACTGTGACCGTACCTCGCGAAGGCTGATCTGGCCGGGGTGGTCCATGCCTTGGTCACCTCTAGATTGGACTACTGTAATGCGTTCTACGTGGGGCTGCCCTTGAAAACAGCTCGGAAATTTCAACTGGTCCAACGGGCAGCAGCCAGGATGTTAACTGGGGCCCCTTACAGAGAGAGGTCAACCCTCCTGTTCAAGGAGCTCCACTGGCTGCTGTTTATTTTCTGAGCCCAATTCAAGGTGCAGGTGCTTACCTACAAAGCCCTGAACGGTTTGGGACCATCCTACCTGCGTGACCGCATCTCCATCTACGAACCCACACGTTCACTTCGGTCATCTGGAGAGGCCCTGCTCGTGATCCTGCCTGTCGCAAGCGCATTTGGTGGGGACACAAGACAGGGCCTTTTCTGTGGTGGCCCCCCGACTCTGGAACACCCTCCCCAAAGATCTTAGACAGGCCCCTACATTGGCAGTCTTCAGAAAGAACTTGAAGACCTGGCTGTTCCGATGTGCCTTTCCAGAATAGGAATCTCCAATAACAAGTCCCAGAAGCACTTTATTAGAACTAAGATTGCTGCACACCGCACACTGCACTTACCCTATAATCCTTACATATCACCTGTCACATCAGCACTTTTAATCTGTACCCATTACTCTGGCCCGGCCCAGTTTTATTGTGTCTTGGTGTATTGTTTATTGTTTAATATTGCTTTAATTGTTTTTAATTTGCTTTAGGTTGTGTATTGTTATGTTGTGTATTGAGGCCTTGGCCTCTGTAAGCCGTATCGAGTCCTTCGGGAGATGCTAGCGGAGTACAAATAAAGATAATAATAATAATTAATAATAATAATAATAATATGCTGTGGTTAATAGTGCTGGAGTGCGGCATATTATTGCCTTTATGACATTCCACCTGTGCCATCAGTTGGGAGCTATGCTAATAATATATGCAGTTTCTCAAGTCGCTCCTGACACGACAAATAATAATAATAATAATAATAATAATAATAATAATAATAATATGCTGTGGTTAATAGTGCTGGAGTGCGGCATATTATTGCCTTTATGACATTCCACCTGTGCCATCAGTTGGGAGCTATGCTAATAATATATGCAGTTTCTCAAGTCGCTCCTGACACGACAAATAATAATAATAATAATAATAATAATATGCTGTGGTTAATAGTGCTGGAGTGCGGCATATTATTGCCTTTATGACATTCCACCTGTGCCATCAGTTGGGAGCTATGCTAATAATATATGCAGTTTCTCAAGTCGCTCCTGACACGACAAATAATAATAATAATAATAATAATAATAATAATCTATATAAATAAAAAATGTAATGTTTGTTTGTGGGATTAACGTCTCTCAAAAACAACTGGATGAATTGACATGAAATTTGGACACAATACACCTAACAGTCCAATGAGTGTCCATCACCCATAAACACACACACACACACACAACCCCAGCGGAACAGACTTAGATACCCCAAAATACACCATATATACATATACACATGCACTCATACACATATGCACATGCACACATTCATACACATGTATCGTATGCCCTTCCACAAACACCACTATCACCTTTCGTCCATGTCCCAGCATTATTTCCAATTTTAACTCTACATTTGGCCTTCCCACTGTTTTTAATTGTGTGTTGTCTATTGATAATGTTGTATATTTTATTGTTTATGTTTTTAATTGCTTGTATTGTTGTGTTTGGGCTCAATCCTATTATATAGCAAATCAAAAACAGTAATATCTATATATATATAAATGCTCTGTGCGTAATGAGTACCTTAAAAACGAAAGAACCAATGAATGAAATCACACCAAATTTGGCAACAAGACGTCTCCCAACACAAGGAGTGACCATTACTCAAAAAATGATGATTTTGTCATTTGGGAGTTGTAGTTGCTGGGATTTATAGTTCACCTACAATCAAAGAGCATTCTGAACTCCACCAATGATGGAATTGAACCAAACTTGGCACACAGAACTCCCATGACAACAGAAAGTATTGGAAGGGTTTGGTGGGCATTGACCTTGAGTTTGGGAGTTGTAGTTCACCTACATCCAGAGAGCACTGTGGACTCAAACAATGATGGATCTGGACCAAACTTGGCACAAGTACTCAATACGCCCAAATATGAACACAGATGGAGTTTGGGGAAATAGACCTTGACATTTGGGAGTTGTAGTCACTGGGATTCATAGTTCACCTACACTCAAAGAGCGTTCTGAACCCCACAAACGACAGAATCGGGGCAAACTTCCCACACAGAACCCCCATGACCATCAGAAAATACTTAAGGCCATCCAATCCAACTCCCTTCATCAGGGCAAGAAAACGTAATCAAAGTCCTCCTGACAAAGAGCCATCCAGGCATAGATATAAATAGATATATATGATTCACACAGAGAGAGATATAGTATCATAGATTTGAAAGGGACCCCTAAAGAAGGGCAATGATATGTTGCATGTTCCAGACTAGGCAAACCAGACAACTCTCCACATCAACACTGACAAAGAAACAACAAGAAATACTGTTTACCCACAAGAAGAAAGACATTACATATAGAAACCAACACTTTCTCATTACTTTATTTTCCAGATCACAGACTGGGCCACAGCAATGCGTGGCAGGGGATGGCTAGTGTGTGTGTGTGTGTGTGTCTGTGTGTCTGTCTGTCTGTCTATATATATATATATATATATATATATATATATGCACAAACACACACAAATATAATTTATTGTATATACATATAACTTGTAAGCCTCTCTGAGTCCCCTTTGGGATGAGAAGGGCGGGGTATAAAAATAGTAAGTAAATAATTGAGCATGCATGAATTGGGTCAGGGTATGTAAGCCACATGCCTATAGGTCCCTTGCGCAAGTCCCGTGGAATCTAAAATCTGGAATCCAAAATCTGGCACCACTGGTGTTGTGAGAAGGCCCATGCATCTCCATAGAATAGGATATAATAGCTTTATTGTCATTGTGCTATTGCACAACAAAATTAAATGCCTTCCCCAGCACACACCACAAAACAACACACCCATCCTCTACACGCCAACCACCGCCACATCCCCTGATGCCACATCAATGCAAAGCCATGGAGTTCAACATAGCCACAGCTCTAGGATAAAAGCTATCTCTCAGTCTGTTTGTCCTTGTCTTTGTCACCCTGGACCGTCTGCCAGGTTGCAACAATTCAAAAAAAGAGTATTCCACGTGAGATATATATTTTTAACATTGGGTGTGTTTGCATAGGTGGTCCTTTGGAGTTCTGCTGTGGGAGATCTTCACGTTGGGTGGATCGCCTTATCCAGGGGTTCCCGTGGAAGAACTCTTCAAGCTGCTGAAAGAGGGCCATCGAATGGACAAGCCCAGCAACTGCACCAATGAACTGTAAGTCCCATGTTCTAGCTTTTCCGGGAGAGCAGAGGGCAGCCAGCATCATCACCTTGCATACTTGAACACATCTGTGTCGTCCGATGGTTGGAGTATTAGACTACGACTCCAGGAACCAGGGTTCAAGTCTCTGCTTGGCCGTAGAAACCCATTAGGTGACCTTAGGGAAGTCCCCCTCTTTCAGCCTCAGAGAAGGCCAATGTAAAATTAGGCCCCTCTGAACAAATATTGCCCAAAAAAAACCCCTACATTATAGCTTTGCCTTAGGGTGCATCTACACTATAGAATGAATGCAGTTTAACACCACTCAATGCTATGGAATCTTGGAAATTGTGGTTTAGTGTAAGATCTTGGAGTTAAAATCAAGCTCACAACAATAAAATGCTGGAGACAAGTGGTTTATTCCTTCTTTCCACAATCCTAAAAAGACAGTTCTAAAGACAGTTCAATCCTAAAAAGACAGTTCTAAAGGAAGTTCAATCCTAAAAAGACAGTTCTAAAGGAAGTTCAATCCTAAAAAGACAGTTCTAAAGACAGTTCAATCCTAAAAAGACAGTTCTAAAGGAAGTTCAATCCTAAAAAGACAGTTCTAAAGGAAGTTCAATCCTAAAAAGACAGTTCTAAAGGAAGTTCAAGCCTAAAAAGACAGTTCTAAAGGAAGTTCAATCCTAAAAAGACAGTTCTAAAGGAAGTTCAATCCTAAAAAGACAGTTCTAAAGGAAGTTCAATCCTAAAAAGACAGTTCTAAAGGAAGTTCAATCCTAAAAAGACAGTTCTAAAGGAAGTTCAATCCTAAAAAGACAGTTCTAAAGGAAGTTCAATCCTAAAAAGACAGTTCTAAAGGAAGTTCAATCCTAAAAAGACAGTTCTAAAGGAAGTTCAATCCTAAAAAGACAGTTCTAAAGGAAGTTCAATCCTAAAAAGACAGTTCTAAAGGAAGTTCAAGCCTAAAAAGACAGTTCTAAAGGAAGTTCAATCCTAAAAAGACAGTTCTAAAGACAGTTCAATCCTAAAAAGACAGTTCTAAAGACAGTTCAAGCCTAAAAAGACAGTTCTAAAGACAGTTCAAGCCTAAAAAGACAGTTCTAAAGGAAGTTCAAGCCTAAAAAGACAGTTCTAAAGGAAGTTCAAGCCTAAAAAGACAGTTCTAAAGACAGTTCAAGCCTAAAAAGACAGTTCTAAAGACAGTTCAAGCCTAAAAAGACAGTTCTAAAGACAGTTCAATCCTAAAAAGACAGTTCTAAAGGAAGTTCAATCCTAAAAAGACAGTTCTAAAGACAGTTCAAGCCTAAAAAGACAGTTCTAAAGGAAGTTCAATCCTAAAAAGATAGTTCTAAAGGAAGTTCAATCCTAAAAAGACAGTTCTAAAGGAAGTTCAATCCTAAAAAGACAGTTCTAAAGACAGTTCAATCCTAAAAAGACAGTTCTAAAGACAGTTCAAGCCTAAAAAGACAGTTCTAAAGGAAGTTCAATCCTAAAAAGACAGTTCTAAAGGAAGTTCAATCCTAAAAAGACAGTTCTAAAGGAAGTTCAATCCTAAAAAGACAGTTCTAAAGGAAGTTCAATCCTAAAAAGACAGTTCTAAAGGAAGTTCAATCCTAAAAAGACAGTTCTAAAGGAAGTTCAATCCTAAAAAGACAGTTCTAAAGGAAGTTCAATCCTAAAAAGACAGTTCTAAAGGAAGTTCAATCCTAAAAAGACAGTTCTAAAGGAAGTTCAATCCTAAAAAGACAGTTCTAAAGGAAGTTCAATCCTAAAAAGACAGTTCTAAAGGAAGTTCAATCCTAAAAAGACAGTTCTAAAGGAAGTTCAAGCCTAAAAAGACAGTTCTAAAGGAAGTTCAATCCTAAAAAGACAGTTCTAAAGACAGTTCAAGCCTAAAAAGACAGTTCTAAAGGAAGTTCAAGCCTAAAAAGACAGTTCTAAAGACAGTTCAAGCCTAAAAAGACAGTTCTAAAGGAAGTTCAATCCTAAAAAGACAGTTCTAAAGGAAGTTCAATCCTAAAAAGACAGTTCTAAAGGAAGTTCAAGCCTAAAAAGACAGTTCTAAAGGAAGTTCAAGCCTAAAAAGACAGTTCTAAAGGAAGTTCAAGCCTAAAAAGACAGTTCTAAAGGAAGTTCAAGCCTAAAAAGACAGTTCTAAAGACAGTTCAATCCTAAAAAGACAGTTCTAAAGGAAGTTCAATCCTAAAAAGACAGTTCTAAAGGAAGTTCAATCCTAAAAAGACAGTTCTAAAGGAAGTTCAAGCCTAAAAAGACAGTTCTAAAGGAAGTTCAAGCCTAAAAAGACAGTTCTAAAGGAAGTTCAATCCTAAAAAGACAGTTCTAAAGGAAGTTCAATCCTAAAAAGACAGTTCTAAAGACAGTTCAATCCTAAAAAGACAGTTCTAAAGACAGTTCAAGCCTAAAAAGACAGTTCTAAAGACAGTTCAAGCCTAAAAAGACAGTTCTAAAGGAAGTTCAATCCTAAAAAGACAGTTCTAAAGGAAGTTCAATCCTAAAAAGACAGTTCTAAAGGAAGTTCAAGCCTAAAAAGACAGTTCTAAAGGAAGTTCAAGCCTAAAAAGACAGTTCTAAAGGAAGTTCAATCCTAAAAAGACAGTTCTAAAGGAAGTTCAATCCTAAAAAGACAGTTCTAAAGACAGTTCAATCCTAAAAAGACAGTTCTAAAGACAGTTCAATCCTAAAAAGACAGTTCTAAAGGAAGTTCAATCCTAAAAAGACAGTTCTAAAGGAAGTTCAATCCTAAAAAGACAGTTCTAAAGGAAGTTCAATCCTAAAAAGACAGTTCTAAAGGAAGTTCAATCCTAAAAAGACAGTTCTAAAGACAGTTCAAGCCTAAAAAGACAGTTCTAAAGGAAGTTCAATCCTAAAAAGACAGTTCTAAAGGAAGTTCAATCCTAAAAAGACAGTTCTAAAGACAGTTCAAGCCTAAAAAGACAGTTCTAAAGGAAGTTCAAGCCTAAAAAGACAGTTCTAAAGGAAGTTCAATCCTAAAAAGACAGTTCTAAAGGAAGTTCAATCCTAAAAAGACAGTTCTAAAGGAAGTTCAATCCTAAAAAGACAGTTCTAAAGGAAGTTCAATCCTAAAAAGACAGTTCTAAAGGAAGTTCAATCCTAAAAAGACAGTTCTAAAGGAAGTTCAATCCTAAAAAGACAGTTCTAAAGGAAGTTCAATCCTAAAAAGACAGTTCTAAAGGAAGTTCAAGCCTAAAAAGACAGTTCTAAAGACAGTTCAATCCTAAAAAGACAGTTCTAAAGGAAGTTCAATCCTAAAAAGACAGTTCTAAAGGAAGTTCAATCCTAAAAAGACAGTTCTAAAGGAAGTTCAATCCTAAAAAGACAGTTCTAAAGACAGTTCAATCCTAAAAAGACAGTTCTAAAGGAAGTTCAATCCTAAAAAGACAGTTCTAAAGGAAGTTCAATCCTAAAAAGACAGTTCTAAAGGAAGTTCAATCCTAAAAAGACAGTTCTAAAGGAAGTTCAATCCTAAAAAGACAGTTCTAAAGGAAGTTCAATCCTAAAAAGACAGTTCTAAAGACAGTTCAAGCCTAAAAAGACAGTTCTAAAGGAAGTTCAATCCTAAAAAGACAGTTCTAAAGGAAGTTCAATCCTAAAAAGACAGTTCTAAAGGAAGTTCAATCCTAAAAAGACAGTTCTAAAGGAAGTTCAAGCCTAAAAAGACAGTTCTAAAGGAAGTTCAATCCTAAAAAGACAGTTCTAAAGGAAGTTCAAGCCTAAAAAGACAGTTCTAAAGGAAGTTCAAGCCTAAAAAGACAGTTCTAAAGAAAGTTCAATCCTAAAAAGACAGTTCTAAAGGAAGTTCAATCCTAAAAAGACAGTTCTAAAGGAAGTTCAAGCCTAAAAAGACAGTTCTAAAGGAAGTTCAATCCTAAAAAGACAGTTCTAAAGGAAGTTCAAGCCTAAAAAGACAGTTCTAAAGGAAGTTCAATCCTAAAAAGACAGTTCTAAAGGAAGTTCAAGCCTAAAAAGACAGTTCTAAAGACAGTTCAAGCCTAAAAAGACAGTTCTAAAGGAAGTTCAAGCCTAAAAAGACAGTTCTAAAGGAAGTTCAATCCTAAAAAGACAGTTCTAAAGGAAGTTCAATCCTAAAAAGACAGTTCTAAAGGAAGTTCAATCCTAAAAAGACAGTTCTAAAGGAAGTTCAAGCCTAAAAAGACAGTTCTAAAGGAAGTTCAATCCTAAAAAGACAGTTCTAAAGACAGTTCAAGCCTAAAAAGACAGTTCTAAAGACAGTTCAAGCCTAAAAAGACAGTTCTAAAGGAAGTTCAAGCCTAAAAAGACAGTTCTAAAGGAAGTTCAATCCTAAAAAGACAGTTCTAAAGGAAGTTCAATCCTAAAAAGACAGTTCTAAAGGAAGTTCAATCCTAAAAAGACAGTTCTAAAGGAAGTTCAATCCTAAAAAGACAGTTCTAAAGGAAGTTCAATCCTAAAAAGACAGTTCTAAAGGAAGTTCAATCCTAAAAAGACAGTTCTAAAGACAGTTCAAGCCTAAAAAGACAGTTCTAAAGGAAGTTCAATCCTAAAAAGACAGTTCTAAAGGAAGTTCAATCCTAAAAAGACAGTTCTAAAGGAAGTTCAAGCCTAAAAAGACAGTTCTAAAGGAAGTTCAATCCTAAAAAGACAGTTCTAAAGACAGTTCAGTCCTAAAAAGACAGTTCTAAAGGAAGTTCAATCCTAAAAAGACAGTTCTAAAGGAAGTTCAAGCCTAAAAAGACAGTTCTAAAGGAAGTTCAATCCTAAAAAGACAGTTCTAAAGGAAGTTCAATCCTAAAAAGACAGTTCTAAAGGAAGTTCAAGCCTAAAAAGACAGTTCTAAAGGAAGTTCAATCCTAAAAAGACAGTTCTAAAGACAGTTCAATCCTAAAAAGACAGTTCTAAAGGAAGTTCAATCCTAAAAAGACAGTTCTAAAGGAAGTTCAAGCCTAAAAAGACAGTTCTAAAGGAAGTTCAATCCTAAAAAGACAGTTCTAAAGGAAGTTCAAGCCTAAAAAGACAGTTCTAAAGGAAGTTCAATCCTAAAAAGACAG